TTACAGAGACAGTTGTAAGCACTGTGTAACTGCCTCGAGGGTGCTTGACCATTTTAACACAACGTGGTGCGATCATCCCCCTTGCGCGGAGCGAGTGTTCTCCACCCCGCACAACATGATCTACTCGACCACCATTATGGTTACCGCCAAAAAAAAAAANGCGGAGTGAGGGTTCTCGACCCCGCACAACAGGGGAGGGGAGATATTTTCGGAGGGGGGGGGGTACTCGTGTAAACGCATGCCGCAGTGGGCAGACCTTGGCATCCCTACATTGCCGGAACTAATCGATATGCCGGGTTTTTGCCGGCTCAGGCTATGTTTCACAAGGATGGACTAGAAGCTGGTCATCGTCCTTGGGAAGGGGGGGAGTGCTCATGATGTCTTGCGTTAGCTTTTAGACCGTTGGCCAGGAGGGGGTGTTTTGGTGCCGATATTTTCGGTTCTGGTGTTTCTTGGGCAACAAACAGAGAGGTTTCCCATGGACATGTTGGCAGCAATCTAGTATAACTCGAAACGTACGGACTAAGGACGTGGGGCTCGGGCCACTTATCCCGCCCGAGAAGCTAGTAACCTCGCAAGCAGATGCGGGGGGATTTTCGGGATTTGCGTGATGCGAGCAGCGGAGGAGGAGTGTTTACGGCATGGTGGAGGAAAGGGGGATTGGTACGATCGTGTTCGTGTTTTCCTATTTGAGCGGATATCTGCTGACCTCTCTGCTCTTGTTCAGACCTAATGCTACCGAAAAGCACACGGCGACAGTGTAGGGCCTTGACGCACACACCCTTTTTGAGGATCAAGATCGGTTTATCAACCTCTCTCAGCCTAGACGTCAGGCGCATAATGTGCACCAAACATCACCCCCCGCCGCCGCTCAATTACCTGTCCCCCGGACGAACGCAGAAATTATTGGATGCTTCAGCGAACGTCATCCATCTATATCTGAAAGTGGCGTCCGGGGCACCAATTGTTGTACACATGGAACCATACATCCATTTTCTCGTTCTCACCGTTTACGGGAGAGAATAATCTGGAGAGGTACAGAACCACCAGTCATTTCTTTTCTTTCCCCTTCGGTTTCTATCTCCTCCTCTGTTTCTCTCTCCAAGCGCTACCAAGAGACCGACACCCGGGATAAGAAGCGAAACGAGGAGCTGACGGAGGAGTTCCGCCGCATCACGAAGCAGTACAACGACATGCAGGCAAAGTTCCGGCACTTCGAGATCTCGGACAACAATCGATACGAGCAGGTGTGAGCCTTTCCTCTCCTGATATTGTTGTTGTTGTTGTTGTTGTTGTTGTTGTTGTTGTTGTTGTTGTTGTTGTTCTTGTTGTTGTTGTTGTTGTTGTTGTTGTTGTTGTTGTTGTTGTTATTGTTGTTGTTGTTGTTGTTGTTGTTGTCCTTGTTGTTGTTCCAACATGTGCTCTTTCGCTGTTGCCCAGCTCGTAGCAACAGAGAAGACCCCCACGCCGTCGCACTATTTCTTTTGTCCTGGTTTCTCCTTCTCATTGTTCCCGTCCATTTTCGGCGCCGATAGTAGGCCGGGGTGTCCCCCAGCAGTGGTAGGTTTCCGAGGTTCCCGTTCCTGAAATACGGACGGACAGCATTTGACGAGACACATGTCCTTGTGTAACTTGCGGCGTAGGCGCGACGGTCTGAAGCCGAGGCACAACAACTCGGGACGTGCGTGTGCGTGTTTGAAAGCCTCCAACAGAGAGTCAACCGTGCGTCATAAGTGTATCTGGTTCGTTGTCGGTTCGTAGAGAATTGTGTACCTAGGTTTATGCTGGGATTCCAAGTGCTTTACATTCTCCTCCTTGTCATATCTTACCATGCCAGGTGTGGTCCATGCACCGCGAGGAGGTGCTAGAGGCCATCAATAAGGTCCTACAGGTGCGTTGGTTCTCCGAAACGAGCCGTGACGCGAGTATCACTAGTACATTTCTACTACTCTGTCGAGCTCAACAACTCTGTTTTTTCCACCTAGGCGCAGCCTCCCGTCCCTGCGGACACGCTCCGTCGCATAGCGTTATAGCTGAACCAATACGAGTAGTTTTCACGATCCATTTTGTCTTTTGTCTGATCAAGCCCGCGAGTCTTCCGAGCAATCTGCCGCAGATTGCAATGACACTGCTTGCAGAACGAAGAAACATACACACACGCCGTCGTCCCTCCCCTGTCGGGGGAACCCGATGACTACAAAACGTGCCCGTGTGTGTTTTCCCGCGATAATATTGTCGTCTGTACATTGGTCCAGCCGGATACATACAACAGCTAGGGGCAGTGTTGGGAGTGATAATCAATTCCCTAAGTACGCAAACACACACACACGCACAAAATTTCAGGCGGACGAGATCATCCACCAGCAGCAGCTAGGCTGGGAATGGAAACCCCCCAACATGGACCTACTGGCCCAGCTCGACGTTAACAGCGTCGCTGCCGCCAAGGCCGGGGGGGGTGTCGGGGTAGTAGGGGGGGTGGGGGGCGGAGGAGGAGGAGGCGGCTGCCAATCAGCGAGCGCGGTCGTCGCGCAGGCGGGGGGGGCGGGAGACGGGGAGGGGGAAGATGAGGTGACGGATGCGATAATATATTGATGGGGCTTTGGTGTTTTTTGGTGGTGGATACGGCGGTGTGGGGTTCGTTTAGGCGGTTGCAACATCAACTAGTAGGCATGCGCACGTGTGCAGTCACATGACTATTGGGTAAGATAAGGGGGACTCGGGGAGAGGAATGGTTCGGCGTGACCTGCCGAAGTCGATGAACAAGAGAAACCAGATTGGTGTGGGGGTTAGATTATTTGAAGAAGTTGGGAGGGGGCTAGGTCCTTCCTTGCCCGATGAAGAAAACGCGTGGTGCATCGAAATCGCACGAGGAAGAATTCATAGTTGTGGTCGCACGGCAAGGGCAAAGTCGCTAGGAACAACCAACCCGTCGTGTTTAGAATCATGTGACCTGGTTGGGGGAGTAGCGAAGCCAAGGTAGGGTTGACGAACTTTGCCGTTTCAGAGCAACGATCAAGCGCGTGATACATCAACCAAGCGACGAGGACAACGGCGTGGCAAATGGCGCACAACGGTGTGGTGAAGTGCACAGTAGAAAGAAGTGGGAAGGCGCTACGTGGATATATCGAATGGTGGCCATGGCAGCACGACGCAAGAGGTTTGGATTCAACTTGACTACAGCAATAATAGAGCGAGAACAATACGCGTGAGACATCTGCCACATGACACGAAAAAACATATCCCCCGTACACAGAAACCCTTAAGCAACGTGAAGCGTAACCCATAAAGCGAGCACCACGAGTTTTGGCAGAGTGCACTGCTTGGTGCACGGCGGATGAGTAACAAATGTGACGAATACGAACCGCAACATAAGCATGATGGCATCACGCATGGCGCCATTTTGTTGAACAGAATGATCCCAACCGGCCGGGTCAAGTGGTAGCGAAGGTCTCGGGGACGCGGGTGAAGGCAGTGCTGCGGCTTCTCTCGCAAGAGGCGGGGTTTCTAGTCGACCCAGGCGTTAAGGTCAGCGACGACGGGGGGAAGGGTGATTTGTTGGTGGTCTTCGCTTTCGAAGCCGTCTGGTCTTTATCGGGCACAGTACCTTCTTTACTTCGTATTCCTCAAGGCGATGAGGGGACCGCAAAAGACGATAAGATGAATAGGATGGTGCCAACGACGTCCTCAGAATCTGAGAATCTTACTGGGTCAAGGGATCCGATGTACTCGTGACCACATGCTAACTTTTACCCCGCGGTTGCCGATTGAGAAGGTAGGTGTGACTATGATGCCGTTTTTTTCGTTTTGTTACGGTCGCTTGCATGGATACGACGGTTGTGGAACTTGCAGCAGCTAGGGACGGAAAGTATCGGTGGGTTCTTTCTCACCCCCCTACTGTCGACTTAGGCTTTTGAAGTTTGGGTGAAAATGTTTGGCACACTCAGATTTTCGAGATCGAAGAACGTGCCGCCCTTACATGATTGGGACCAAAAGCGCGACGAAACTATTTGTCTAGCTGCGGTAGCCGTGGTACAACCATCAGACCGAACAGCGTAGAATACGTGCATTGCTTCCAGTATGACAGCAACTATCACCAGGGGAAAAGTATTGGGGGTGTACGATGTGCTCGCTTTCCTGATCTGGCTTGGCTGCGGCGAAAAGGGTTAAAACGTGTTGCTACCTGTGCTCGCCTACCATTCGGAGTAAGTAGCACACATCCCTCCCCCGCCCCCGAGCCCCCACCCACCCACCCACCCATCGTGGCCTCTTCCCTGCGCAACTTTCCTATCCTCAAATGAAACAGGACGCACTAGATGCCATGACAACCGACGAAGCCCAGTTAGTGTCGGCAGTCAGCATGCTCAAGGCTCTCGGGGTAGAGGAGCAATCGGACATCGAGGTGGGGATGCTCGGGTCGTAGGTTGGTGTTGGTGTTGATGGTGGGCTCCTGTTTCGGCGTTGTTCTTGCAGCCGTCAGATGTTTCCAGGGAAGAAGCAGACGTGAATCGCTACATTGCACGATCGGCGCACGCCCATCACTCCCTTCGCGTTCGCCTTCAATGATTCACCGCCACCACCATTGCGTCATCGTGACTATCAATCAGCGACGACGAACATGTGTCTGCCATATCTCACCTTCTCGGTTGCTCTCAGAGACGTTTAGTGTCCTAACTGGACGCCTGTGAACAACGCCTCGTCAATTGTCCGACTTACGTCCTCGCCTACCTCTCCCTCTCTTGTCTAACGTACCCCTTTCCCGAAGGAACTGATGCGGTACTTCTTCGGCTCTGACGTGGCTGAGCCAGACGCTGAGGACATACCGTCGATGGCCACGTTCAGAGCCCTCGGGCTAGACCCCGACAGAGAGCCAGATGCCCTCAAGGTGACAAAGGCTATCACCGGCAGGGGTGGGATTGCGGAGAACCTTTCCATCTGCATCGCTTCTCGCCGTACCTCGTCGTTCCCGGGCACCCAGTAGTTTCGAAACCCAGCAGGACCGATCATTGTTCTCACGCCAGATGGAGACAACGCCCCTATTGGTGTTTGTGGCTTCGGACGTTTTTTTCTGGACTACGTCGTACGTTCTGGGGGATTTTTTCTTCGCGCCTCTACACGTCTGGTGGCCACCTTTGTCGGGCATGGAACACAATGGGCTCTTTGAAAGGATTGAAGAGGATATGAACAAAACGTCACCTGGATGGCCATGCAGAGGAGAAAGGCAGCTCATGTCGATTTCTTGAAATACTCGACGTCTAACGACTATGCCAAACGAGTCATCATGGGGGTACCCCCAAACGTCCAGATACAGACATCATCACTCCCACTCCAACTTCAATTATTGGACACCTTCATTTCAGACTATAGACTAGGCGTGCTCCCGACCCACCTGGACTACGTTTCTAGAGCCGCGGCGAGCGAGCGTGATGGCTGAGTCAGTGAATGACGCCTCGCTCGCCGGAGCTAAACTAGCCTGCTCTTTCGTTCTCGTTGACAGAAACGGAGTCTGCTGAGTGCAACACAAGCAAGTTACGACGGAAGCATTGAAAACGGCTACTTACCCTATCAACCCAGATGCAAATCAAACAAGGGGTGGCGCTGATGGTTGGTAATTTCGTTTGAAAAATTTGCCTTTCTTGTTCTGGACGTCGTTGTTGTCTAAATGTTAACACCTTCTTTTTCCGCTCCTGTTCATCCTGAAAAGCAACGAACGACCACCACAACCGCTGGCTAACCTTCCTTTTTTTGTGGCGGCAAACATGACGGAACGGAACGAAATCAGGTGCTCCTGACAATTATCCAGCCCGACAACGTGGTAAGCGCGATCCACAACTTCGTCAAGGACCGGAAGGAGGCCCGCCTGCTAGACCAGGTGAGGCAGCACGCACATGTGACACCACGAACAACACATGGTACCATACGTCACTGTATGTAGCACGCTGTCCGCCGTTCACTTCCCCGCTTCCTGCGGAATCCTACCCTCCTTTGTTGATCTGAGAACTTCAGCCATGCTGATGATGACATGAAAATGATTACCCATCCCCACGTTGTACCTTTCGTATAACCGCGCAAATCCAGACTAGAACAAAGAGTCTAAGCTTAGATGACGGGGGCGGGGGCGGGGGCGACGCGGCTGGGAAAGTCCGGAGGCAGAGGGAGAAGGTCATCCGACAGAGGGAGAGGGACTACTGGAATACCATTGGGGGGGTGATCGGCGAAGAAGCGTGGCAGGTATCTAAATTTAGCACGACGCTGCCGTTGTTGTTATGCTCGATGTTGCTGTTGGCGTCTTCTTGTTGTGGACACAACTAAGAGAAAGAAGGGCCTTTGGGGGCCAACAACCGTAGCAGGAGGCCCCGCCCATTCACATACTAACACTGAGTGATACCAGTAGTGTTGGGGAGTCATTCAAATGAAGCCAGCTCCGGCCGAGGTGGAGGGATAGCAAGAGCATCAAGAGGCTGGGAGATATTGTAGGCACCTACACAAGAGAGCGCTGCTGTCTCTCGATTGCGCCACGCTGACGAGCTTGCCTTGAAGGGTGGCGACCATGTTATCTTTAGTCTTGGTATCTTCAAAATGAAACCGATTGTGCCCGTTCGGTTGCCCAGCACAACAAAAACATCGCTCGATCGGCTCATCTCAGTACGCACATCTGTCATCATAAAAATAAGGTTTGGAAGCAGCTGGCGCACGGACTGGAACGATACAACGCGGTACTTGCGGAGCGAAGCCGGCGCATCACCAACGTCAAGTTGCTCCAAGTATGCCTGAGTACTGTGGTTTGATTATCCCGCCAAGAGTGGGGGCGCATCAGTTGAGAATAGCAATACAGCACGGTAGGCGAAGACAGCGCGCGACAGCAGTACTACTACTACGGGGATGCCCCGAAATAACGAAGTTTGCTACGTACTTGCGTGTGATTTTTGACTGGGCCCTAAGGAAGGGAACGAGAAGGCTTCGGCCAACGCAAAGCATCGATCACTTGCAAAGCTCTGAATCACCATCATAGCTTGTGAACGACTATTCTATAAGGTTCAAAAAGAAGTTACTATTGTGTGCGAGCCCCTAGACTATTTCGTTTGTATCGTCGGAGGAATTGCTCCTCCTCTCCTTCCCCCGTCATGGAGAACTCAGGTTGTTCTTCTGCCGGCTTGCTGGAGGCCCAGCTTGTCCGGGCGGGCGGGCGGGGGGGAGGGGGTGTTGGACTCCGGCGGGGCGAACTCAAAGGGGGTCGGGTTTACTCTTGAGGGCGGGCGATGAAAACCAACCGCATTATCTCTGTATTTTCGTGTGGTGCGCACAGTAGCGTGTTTTTTCGGGTCTGCTAGCACTTGCTACCCTTCCTACAATTTGACCACTGGGGAAGGGGCGTGAGTGAGTCGTCGACGGGTATCGAACGCACGCCCCACACGATCGGCCCCTATCCGACTGAACTTCTTCAATCGACGATGAATCGGGCTTCATATTTTCTTGTCACACTTGGTTTCGATTATTTCCCGACAAACTTCGGTTGGCGCACCCATATCCTCCTACAGTAGTACATGAGAGATATGCAGCCGGGAGATCTTGGACACGAACCGTCCTCCAACTTGAAACGAACTGTTTGGTGGCACCAACCGTATGCATGTAGCCAGAACATGTCATTGGATCGAAACCAACACCTTCGAGTGCATTTGCTGAAAGTCATACAAGGTGGTGCTAGATTTGTCGAAGACACAAAAACAGAGTGGGTGAGTTTCTTTTGTACGGATTGACTGGCTCAACCGATGCACCGTGGGGTGGGGGAAATCGTTGGGAGAGCTGGTAGATATCCAGGTTAGGAAGGTAGTGGGAAAAGGAGGCAGACGAGGCAGTCAATCCCTTTAATTACCGGCGACTGACGACGCATTTCCGCGCTAGGGAAATAATAATGAAATCATGAACATTTGATGACGCGCAGCGTGCTCTGCCTCCCCCCCCCCACCCGAACTGTCGTGCTGATGCGCTCTGTCATTCTCAAACAAGTGTTCGTGGGTACTGCTGTCGACGTTTTTTCTCTCCTTTCCGCTCTGTGTTCCGTTCGCGGTTTTGCCCGTCCTGCGTCGTGTTGCCGTCGTTCGCGTATGTATTCTCATCGTTACGCCGGTGTTGCTGCTTGCGGGCATCGTGCGTGCAGCAAGAAAACACGAGGCTGAAGGAGATGCTGCGGTCGTACCTCGGATCGGCGGTTAACGACGACCTCATCATTCCACCCACAAGGACGATACAAATAGGCGCCCCCTACTAGCCAATTGTCGACGATGTGTTGTCGAGGGAGTCGTGTATTCCCCTTGACCTGCCGAAAGCTGTGGCGCTGTGCGGTAGATACTCGCTCAACGTGGTAATTTTTCTACTCTTCGACCACGCGGACTGAGCGGGAGCTTGTGCTGTCACTAGAGGACAGCAGCCGTCTGTGACACCCTGTGATTTGATAGGCTGTGGCATGAGGGGCAAGAGGAGGGTGTGTATATGTTAAACTGGACGGTTCTGTTTGTGGCCTCGCCAGGGTGTAAGATGAAGAATAGGTGCGTTAGACGCAGCCAGTCTACAGACTAGAGCGAAGAAGTGGGTGACGTTTCTTACAAGAAACAATGCCAGCAAGTGGAAGAACAAACTGGAATCAAGCTGTTTCTTCGGCATGGACTAGTTTACCATATTGGTATCGCAGCTTTCTTCGAGCAACCGTGCTGGTCCTCGAGCCCGAGCTGGTCCTCGAAGAGATTTTCGGTTATTTTTTCAGTTCGTGTAGGGAGCACAGTGAAGATATGAAAATGTGCACAAAGGGAAGTGTGCAAAATCTTGTTGCATCCTTACGACAAAGGTTAGGGCAAGAAGAAAGCGGAAAATTATAGTCTGGATGGGCAACGCCAAATACTCAGTCTCTATCGCGGGGCACACGTGCCGGAGTCAGGATATACTACAATGGATTGGTTACATATTTGTTCAGCAACATTTTGCGCTCGCGTATAATAATTTGCAAACGTCGTTTTGCGTCCAACATACTTCCGTGGTCAGGAGGTTGCAGCGGTGTGGCCCGAACCTCTCGTTGGCAGGCGAAAATGGTAGGCGCATAGCTATCCCAGCATCGAACAATTTGTCAATCCAGCTGTAGATTGGACGGGGCTTCAATTTGGTGGAGGATAGGCAACGTTTAGGAACACATCGATCGAGATCGGAGCAATTTGGTGTCGGCAGCACCTGCTGCATGCTCGTGTTTCGTTGAGAGTGATGGTCACCGACACATCCAACCGTCAACAACGCAGAAAGCACCAATGAAGCTGAACCCTGCGGAGGGCTTCGAAAATAGTTCAAGACGGTCGATGGGGTGATTTCTCGCGCCTCGGCGGTTCGGCCAATAAAAGTACGTGGTTCAGGCCTTCGGAGTGAAAGTGATCATTCATATACTTTACACAGTTCTGTGAGACCTCTAGAGGCCGTATCGGCAGTACAAATTGAACGAGGAATGAAAGACGTGAAATCCTCTTTAGTTCGACATGTTTTGACCATGTACTGCACACCTTGGGCGACTAAAGGAATTAGGGGGGGGGGGCGTACGCTCATGTTTTGCATGCCTTAGCGGTTAGACCATTGACCACGCGTCCTCGAGAGGACGGAGCATTGTTCCCACAGGACCGATCACCGATGGCCAATCGTTCCTTTCTACTTTGCCAAAGGTGGCTCAAAAATGTCTTCCCTAGTCTGTCTATCCTAACGATATCCCTTCCCGCCTTTTCAACCCACCTCCTATGCCCCAGTACAGCTACCGTCCTTTCCTCTCTATTCCATGCCTCAAACATCTCCCTGTTACGTCCCATCTATTTTCCCAGCTCAGTCACGTACACTCCCCTCTCCTTCTTGTACAACGGACATTCCGCTACTACATGAACACGGCCTTTGCATTCGAAGCCGCAATCACATTTGAACTCATCGTCCTCGTCGTCTACCGTCCTATGTCTTCGTCGACGTTCTCGAAGGCCTATGTCCCCGGTCCTGAATTTGACCTTAAGCTTTGTTCCTGCATCCATTGGTCCATGTAGGTAGTGCTTGAACCCTACTCCTTCCTTCAACATTCCGTACACTTCTAGACCCTCCTTATCCTTGGATTCTTTCCTCAGATTCTGTTCTTCTCTCTCGGCACAAGCAACAGATATCTTCTCCTTGAACCCCTGTAGACCCTCCGTTTCCAGCGTTTCATCTTCGTCGATGTCGAGCCCCTTCCATACGTCCTCTACAACCTTGACCCATTCCGTGGGTTGTCTACCCCTCTTTTTGTTTGCCCACTTCGCCTCCCATACAATTCTCGGCAACCTCTCCTCTCCCATCCCGCACATGCGATACTGCCAGGTCAGCTTCCTCGCGTCTCTTCCCGACCGTAGGGATTGGATCCCCAATTCTGCCCTCACGGCTGCATTACTTGTGCGCCTGGAGCATCCTAGGATGGTTTTCGCTGCTTTCATCTGCGCCGCCTCGAGTTCTTTCACTACCTTCTTATTTCCTTCCCATACTTCGCCGGCGTACTCTAGCGGCGGTACGATTTCGCTCTTCAAACCCGTCAATTTGATGCGTGTATCAAGGTGCCGGTTTGCGAGTATTAGGTGCAGCTTCCCTGCTCGTGCTTTGCCCTTTTCCGCTACCTTGGACATGGGTGTATTCCACGAGCAATCTTTTGCGATTTCTACTCCGAGGTTTGTGTACTGGTCCACTAATGCAATCTCCTCGATCCTCCACTTCCATCTATGTTCAGCTGGTTTTTCCTTGTTCTCGTTGAATACCATGACGGCACTCTTCTTAACGTTGGTAGACAATCTCCACTTATCAGTAAACTTCTTCGCCGCGTCAATTTGCAGTTGCAGTCCCTCAGGGGTGTCCGACATACCGACAAAATCATCCGCAAACAGCATTCCTGAAACCGACGTTTCCGTGTCCCCTACTTTTACTCCCTTCCGGACTGCCTCTACGACTTCCAACAGATCGTTGATGAACACCTGGAACAATGTTGGGGACAGCGTGCAACCTTGTGGGACCCCCTGCTCAATGTCGAAGAATTTAGACAGTTCTCCGTCTAGCATGACCGCGCTTTTCGTACACTCTGTCATCTTCTTCAGCACTCTCCACATTTTCCCCTTGATCCCGTATTTGGACAGTTGTTTCCACAACCCATTTCTCCACACGGTGTCGTATGCCTTTTTCACGTCCAGGAAGAAGCAGTACGTCGGCTTTCCCGCCCTCTTTCTACCTTGGATGATTCTCCCTACCGTGAACACGTGGTCTACGCACCCCCTCTTCTTTCGGAAACCTGCCTGGCCCTCACTGATGCTATATTCCTTCTCCAATACTCCCAGTATCCTGTCGTTCAGCAGCATACACAACAATTTTCCTACTGTGTTTAACATTGTGATCCCCCCTTAGTTTCCTGGGTCAGTCTTGTCTCCTTTCTTGAACAAGTTCACAACTACTCCTTCCCTCCATCTACTTGGCGTATACTCGTTTTTCCACACCCAATTGTATAGCAGTACCATCAGCTGGATCATCCCCTTCCCCCCAAACTTCATGAACTCGTTGACTATCCCATCCGCTCCTGCTGCTTTGTGGCACTTCAGCTTGTTCACACACGCCTCAACCTCGTCCTCAGTGAACTCCTTTTCTAGTTCTACGTTCCCAACGTCTGCCTTCGATGTCTCTTCTTCTTTTTGNCTTTTCCACAGCCAATTGTACAGCAGTACCATCAGCTGGATCATCCCCTTCCCCCCAAACTTCATGAACTCGTTGACTATCCCATCCGCTCCTGCTGCTTTGTGGCACTTCAGCTTGTTCACACACGCCTCAACCTCGTCCTCAGTGAACTCCTTTTCTAGTTCTACGTTCCCAACGTCTGCCTTCGATGTCTCTTCTTCTTTTTGGGCCCATGCGTCCACCTCCTTCTTAAACGCTTGGTCAAAAGCTTCATTCTCCGAGGGCACTCCAAGTCTCTTGCAGTGTCCTGATAGAACTTCCCTTTTTCCCTTCCCACTGCTGACTAATCCGCCGTTCACTCCTCGCAAAGTTGCTACCCCTGTACCCCCCCTTGAGCGGTCTTTTTTACAACACCAATGATCCCTTCCCACATCTGCTTGACGTTCCCCTCCAGGCCTCCGCTGGCCTTCTGCACTACT